TTCCTGCTAATAGTGTGGTTTAGAAACCAGAGTTGAAATTCAAGGACCACAGACAGAAGGGACCTTGGGCTAATGGTACATACTCTATTAGAGAGATGCAGGGATGGTTGGGCCTAGTCACAGCTGTAGCTCACCAGTAAGCCTGCTGAATAGTCATGGGTTTTGTTTGTGTTCTTTGGGCAAAGGACAAATGGGGCCAGAATAGGTGTCACCAATGAATGGTTGGCCAAATTAAGGCCCCACGAATATTGAGTACTCATGAATATTTACTACCTTTTGTAGATGAGTATATCATGAATATTTATAGCCCAGGTGCCTCATGTATATTTAATGCATACTGAAAATTAGTTATCTCTTGGTCCTTCCATCCCTTTCTTCCTATGTTTAACATATACATGTTCTACTTACTATCTACTTATTGTTATTTAACACATCTTATGATTTTCTGTCTATGTTGAATAAACTTTTTGCTTACTGACTACTTATCTGGGCCCAGTGGTTCCATATTGATATACTACAATGGGTTCCAGGGGGAGAAACAGAGGAATTTTGGGACTGTAGTCCTCTGAGAATAAGGTTGTGATGAGTCAGTATGCAAAGGACTTCCTTCAATGCTCATGAGATTGAGGTTTTTCTTAGAGCATGGCTTCATTGTGTCTGGATGATGAATTTGGAGCCAGGCAGCATTGCAAAGAAGTGTTTTTTGAATGCATATTCTGTGCCATGCACTGTGCTGGGTTTTGAGAAAATGGACAAAAGGAATAAAATATGTCATACTCCTATGTCTTATAGGCAAGCAGGTTAGAGAAGAAAGGGAGCCAGGTGACTAGTCCAAGAGGTTTGCAATTGTTCAGGTTAGAAATGCTGAGTGTCCAAATCAGGACAATGATGGCAAGAATAAAAAATAAGGGAAAGATTTTAGAGACATTCGGTTGGCAGAGTTGATAGGCCTTGACCAGCTATTAAATATAGACAGTGAAGAAGGGGAATATCTAATGATAAAGTGCCTACTTTGTCATTATCTTGTCTAATTCCCCAACAACTACCATTAGCTTTTATAGGAAAGAAAACAGGCTCAGAGAGGTAATTTGCTCCATCTGAATCTTAACCGATTGCCTGGTAGCTTACTCTGTGGTTGAGAGGATGGTGATGTGTTAATAAAGCCCAGGAGCATGGAGCAAGGAGCAGCATCGGAGATGGAGCCGAGATGTGTTTGTTTGGGTCGTGAGGCCTTTCAAGGTGTGTTGGGACATCTGTATAGTGATGCCCACCTGGCAGGTGGAATCTTGGTATGTGTTTTCAGGAAAAAAGTCAAGACTATAGATGTGGACTGGGAATTGGAGGTGTTCTAGATCAGGCTTATTTTACATTGTTGGAAGACAGCTGCTGTTGAGGTGGAGGTGATTCAATTTTGTGTCTGTGCTTGGTTTTGCCAGTGGAGGGAAAAAGTGAGGATTGGTTTGAGGAGGCAATATGAGCTGTCCTCATTAGTCTTTGTGTTCTAGCATTAGTCTTTGTGTTCTTTGTTTAGTGAGAAACCAGTCTCTCTTGAAATATTTAATATGATAATTTTTGTTAAGTCAGTCATTCATATGTCATTCATAGTGGGCATATACCATATTTAAGTACTACATTCCATAAACTGTCCAAGAAGAGAAATGAAATGCAACTTCTATGAGAATCTTGGAAAGGCAAATGGAAGATAGTCGTAATGATTTATTTGAAAATAATTTTTATGTAAGTAGTGGGGGATGTTATTCATAAAGACTCAGGAAGAAAACCCAAGTAAAAGACAATTCTAAAGTCTTTTGAAAATTTCAAAATTTCTGATTGGCTCATTCTGATCAAGACATTTCCCTGAGTGAAGACACAGCTCAGGGGATCTGTACAGAATACACAGTAATCATGATATGTAACAAGACTATTTGTCAGCAGAGTGGAGATAACCTGGTTTTAGTAAGTCCTGTGGAAAGTAAACACAGGTAACCACTCTATCATCAAGCTTTGTTTAGTGAGAAACCAGTCTCTCTTGAAATATTTAATATGATAATTTTTGTTAAGAAAGGTTTTTTTTGGAGTGGGGACAGAATACCCTGGAAAATCATTTAAATGCCTTCTTCAAGCTCTCCTAAATTAAATGATTGGGAAAAAGAAAACAAGCTTAATGAATCAGTGACTTAGACCTCAGAGAGACAAGTAGGAACTGTTCCTTTCAGTTATATCTTGAGAGGTCTGGGCCTGATTTTCCTGTGCCTTTTGCTCATTTAGGTGTCACACACTCATCGATGATATTCCTGTCACTTCCATAGGATTTAGATATTTATCAAATGAATTCAGAGATCAGATGCACCTGTTTTTTGTGGTGCTGACCATTCAGAAATTAGTGCACCTGGATGAATTAGCCTCTTTTTAAGTTGCTTCTCCTATCATGTATTTTTTTGGAGGGGGGAGGGAGAACTTTGGAATAAACCAGAAACAAAGAGGCATCCCTTAGCATGGTGCCAAAAATAGACATTCAGTTACATGCAGCTTCTAATCAGAACAACATATTTTTAACGTTCATGAATCCTTGTTGGCAGAGATGTATGTGTGTGTTAAAAGTCAAGTCACTGTCATACTTCAAGGCTTGCTTTCATTTCTTGCCAGGACATCACTCTCTTTTTGGTTAAATGTGTTATATTTATAGAATTTGTTGTTCTGTTGGAATGTAGTTAAAACGTTTCATTAAGCCAAGAATGCCAGAGGTTAATCACAGTAGTTTTACCTCCAGTTGTCTAACAGAATAATTGTCAAATACAACCAAGTCCAAACTAATCTATGCTAAAAAAAGGATAATGATTAGAAACATGTCATGATTTTCTGGTAAGGTCTGTACCAGTTGTTCTCAGTTGAGAGTAATCATCTTCTGGCCCACCCCAAGATTTCTGTTTCTATAGGTGTGAGGCCAAGAACTGGTTTCCACTTGGTTCTTAGTGTATCCTTAGTTAAGAACACTAATTTCCACTAGTGAGTTGCTTCAGCC